AGTGGAGATACAAGAAGTATCTGCCCTCCTAGGCATGGAGTAAAGTAAAGCGTTTGCCACAGTACTTGTTACGATATGAGCGCATCAAGGGTTGCTGCTTCCGGTAGTGCAGTCATCAAGCAGTGTGCAGTGATGCATCTTTCTGTGTTGTAACTTTACCCTGACTTTGTTGTAGTATCTTGCCGTTTTGCTTTCATTCTCCTTTGTTGATTATCTTTTTTTTCTCTTCTATGAACGTCTATAACCTGCCTGAAAATTTCTTAGAATGAAGCAGGCCATAAGTTGCTATGTTAGGGGGCATTTGATTACAAATGATAGAAACACAAGCTAGCCAAAGCACAAAAAAGGTAAAATTAACTCACATAAGTGACACTTGCAGAAATTAATTCAGATATAACTGGATCAAGAGCCTGCTGCTTTCTTCTCGTTTTCTCTCTTTTTTTTCTCTCTTCCTACCTCTCCCTCCCTGATTCCCTCCCCCACCAAACACACACAGACACACACACACACACACACACACACACACACACACACACACTCTCTCTCTCTCTCTCTCTCTCTCTCTCTCTCTCTCTCTCTCTCTCTCTCTCTCTCTCTCTCTCTCTCTCTCTCTCCTAAGTAGGGATGGTTACAGTGTTCACTGAGAACTTCTGGGAAATAGGCACACAAGTAGTGTTCAGATTAAGTGTTTGTTATAGGCTCTTAACTTTTTACTTAGCAACAATTTTAGATTTACAGAAAAGTTGCAAAAATAGTACAGAGAGTTCATATATGCCCTTGGTTGGGCTTCCTGTAATGTTAACAGTTTACATAACCACAGTAAAATTATCAAAACTGGGAAATTAACATTGGTACAATACTACTGACCACAGATCCTATTAAGATTTCACCAATTTTAACCCCTATTGTTCTTTTTCTGCTGCAGGACCCACTCCAGTGTCCCACATTGTATTTAGTTATTGTGTTTTCTCCATCCTCTCCAGTCTGGGACAGTTCCTAAGTTATTTTCCTGTCTTCCATGACCTTGACACTTCTGATGAGTATTTGATTAGCTATTTTTATAAAATGCCTCTCAATTTTGATTTATCATCTGTTTTCTCCTGATGAGATTGAGGTTACGCTTTTTTTTTTTTTTTTTTGCGGTACGCGGCCTTCTCACCGCTGCGGCCTCTCCCGTTGCGGAGCGCAGGCTCAGCGGCCATGGCTCACGGGCCCAGCCGTTCCGCGGCATGTGGGATCCTCCCAGACCGGAGCACGAACCCGTGTCCCCTGCATCGGCAGGCGGACTCTCAACCACTGCGCCACCAGGGAAGCCCGAGGTTATGCGTTTTTTGATGAAGAATATACCACAGAAGAGGTCTCCGGTACTTCGTATCTGGGGTACATGATCCAGCTCCTACAGGTGATTTATCCTTTATCACTTGGTTATGGCGGCCTCTCTTGGGTTCCTCCACTTTATTTTATTTGTATTACTATTTTTCCTTCGTAATTGAGGGAGATCTTTGATAGTATCTGTTTCTCCTAAAACTTTTGCTCACTGGTTTAGCATCCATCAGCAAATCTTGCCTGCAACAGTTATTCTTGTGGTGTTTGTCTAATGATGATTTTGTATGTCTTTCTTCCTTCTACATTTATTACTCAGAATTGTTCCGTAAGGAAAACCTGTCCTTTCTCCCCCATGTATTTATTCAGTTATTTATTTCAATATGGACTCAGTGATGTCCATTTTCTTCTGTGAGTTATAACACTATCGTTGCTTGCTTTGTCGCTCAAATTATTCCACCTGTAGGCATTAAGGAGCTTCTTTGGGTTGGGTTATTTGTCTTTGAAAATCATCATCTTTTTTCAAGTACTTATTTTCTGGCACCACAGAATATTTTAGGCTCATCTTATATGTTCCCTGCCCCAGCCCTGGAATCAGCCACTTCTCCAACAAGCTGTGTTTCCTTTTCTTTGAGAATGATGTTTAGAAACCAAGATCTGGTCAGTAGATGTGCTCACTGCTATTGGAGTTGGTCGTAGGCCCTCTCAGCAGAGAGAACTAGGAAATGTATGCATTTCTATCAATCTGTGCACCCAGACACACCTGTAGTTGTTTATTCAGACCTAGTATACACATCAAGTCATGACAGCATTGCTAAATCAGACTCCTGGGAGAAACATTTACTACCTGGAGTACAGCATTTGTGTAAAGATCTCTTTGTCTTTATCCTTACAGGGTGCAGTCAGGATATCATTCTCTAAATTTACTTAGGTTCTGTCTTATTCCTATCGCCTTAAGTGTGGTTGTTTTATGTATTTGTAATAGAGCTGTTTCCCATCTCTTAGGGATCCCTCTCCTGTGGTCCAGTGTGACAAGTGTTGTTGATCTGTTTTGTCCAGTTTTTTGGTTGAAGTGGGGAGGGTAAATCCAGTCCCTCTTACTTCATCATGGCTAGAAACAGAAGCCGCCTTTTAATTTTGAATTTTTAGTAAAGTTGACCAGGTCTTGTTGAACTATCTAGATTGTGTCTTTAACCCTACTGTGCATACAGTAAAGCACTTGGCCATTTTCTCAACTCTTCCATTGTTTAACCTAGCATCCATACAGATGGAGGTGCCCAGGGAGAGGAATGATTTTCCATGCTACCAGCTAGAAATACAGATACGCCAGACAAAATCTAGCCAGGGCAAAATTGTCAACTCTTAGATGTGTGTCCCAGCTACAGGAACAAGTGTTAAAGAGTTTGTCCCACTTTCCTACCTCTGCAGAAGGGAAAACCCATCGTAATTACTGGGGCACCTCTTACCCAGACCCAAGGTGCAGAAAAGAAAACCATTAGGGGAGAAAGTGCCATGGTGTGTATACCTCTTGACTTTGGCATTCCCAAGAGAACTGTGAACTTCCTAAGTACATGAACTTGAGAAATAACACTTTGTCTTGCTAGGTACATGTGTCTGTCAGGGTGGTGAGTGTGAGAAAATGGCGAAGTGGCAGAGGGCTTCCCCTGCTCAGCCCATGCCTCCTCTTGCAGTTGAGCCTCAAAGAACATGTTGCAAAGAATGGCTCCTGCTGCCCCCAGTGGGGTCCCAGGTTAATGAAGGCACCTGGGGGTAATGAAGAAGGCCGACCCGAAGAAGATGCAGGGAGGCCCCCAGGCCAGGGGTGGAGTGGGTGCCTCAGAAGGGTGAGCGGAGCGTGAGTCTGAGAGCAGAGATACCTGCTCTTCCCCCTCACCAGCAAGGGCTTCACAGGCTCGGGCTGGGCCCCGCTCATCTCCCGTAACCGCGCCTTTCCCACCTGGCCTGGTCCCCGGTCACTGGCTCTTCACTCTGGCCTGCAGCCCCTCACACACTCCTCCACCCCGCCCTCAAGGCTTCTTACACTGCAGCTGAGCCAGGCACACCAGGCCCCATACGTGTGGTTCCTGTGTCACAGCGTTCATGTTACTTAGATCTGGACATTCCTCACTAGACGCACCAACTGAAGCGCAGGACCTGCCTTGTTTATGCAGCACAGTCTTGCACACAGTTGGGACTCAGATGTTTCTTAAATGAATAGAGAGGCCAGGCCACCCGCTGGGGTGTATCTTCCTAAGGTCTGGGAAGCGGGGCTACTCAAGTCGAAAGCGCATGTGGCCTCTGCCACCATCTGACACAGACCCCTATCAGGACACTTGGGACCCCCAGGTTGTAGGCATGCTGGCCCTGAGTGCCCTCCCAACCACCTGGCTGTCAGCTGCTGCCTGTTCTCTGAGCTGACAGCAGGTGGCCCTGTTCCCTTTCATTCAGCAGAGGGAAGTGTTGAATCAGCCCACATGGACTGACCACAGGATCCTGCACGAGGCACTCTGCTACATGTATGAAGCTTCAGCCACAAAGATGTGAGTTGCTCTCGGGGTAGTGACTCTTCCTCCTCCCCAGGGCAGTAGATGATCCTTAGCATGAGCATAAGTTTACTCAATTGCTCAGAGTTCTTGGAATAGTTTGTTACAAGAAGGAACCACTGCAAGGTGAATTCCAGCCACCAGAGGAGCTTAGAGAGCCCAGGTCAGCTCAGCTGTGCTGGGCTGATGCCTCCCAGGTCAGGTCTGAGCAAGCAAGCTGGGGAAATCTTGCTTCCTCAGGCTTCCCGGGGCTCTCACGTGTCACCCTAGGGAGCCCTTCTCTTTTTACACAAGTTCAGAGTCAGAACGAGGCCCAGCCTCCTCTGCCTCTCAACCACCCATTCTCGGCAGCACGTCCACCAGGGCCACCTTTCTGTCCCCCCAAAGAGCCCTCTTCCCCTCCAGCCCCAGGACCTTCGTGCACCTCCTCCCCTGCACCCGCACCCTGTTGCTCATCTTGTCTTTCCAGTTCCGCACTGGGCCTATGGGTCCTTTTTTGGTTACTCTGAGTCTCCCCAGGCCCCGGGACTGGTTTTGTCCTCTCAGGATCCCCAGTGCCTGCACCTTGGGAGAGGTGGATGGGCAAGGGTGGCCTTGGCCTTTTGTAGAGCAGACCCCCGAGGTAGGAGTGGGCGGTTGTGGCCCAGGGAGAGGAGGAGGGAGGGTGCCCGGGGTTGACATGGAGATGCCCTGTGTCTAGAAGAGCCGCTCTACTTAAACAAATGTCTGCCTGTCTGTCAAACACTTCAGGAGCGTCCCCCGGAGCCCAAGTGTGCGCTCGCCCGGGAAGGGTCCCGGCCCCGCGCTCGCTCCGCGTTCTCAGGGCTACTCGCCGAGGGCCGGGTCGCCTCGCAGGTTCAGCCTCTGCCCCGGCGCCCCGCCGGCAGGTGCTGGCCAGCCCGGCTCCCCCAATGTCGGCCCTCCCTTTGGGTCCCGGCGCGCCCCCATCCCCGGCGGGCCGCATTGCCGCCGCCTCCCGCCCACTCGCCGAGGGCCGGGTCGCCTCGCAGGTTCAGCCTCTGCCCCGGCGCCCCGCCGGCAGGTGCTGGCCAGCCCGGCTCCCCCAATGTCGGCCCTCCCTTTGGGTCTCGGCGGGCTCAGTCCTCGGCGGGGCGCGCGGCGGGCGGACTCGGCTGCGGACGACATGGCCCGGGACCTGCACGGCCTCCCGCGGCGCGGCCTCTGGCTGCTCCTGGGTGAGTAGGGCGGGGGTCCCGGCCACCCCGGCTCCGGCTCCGGACGGGGCCGCGGGCGGCGCCTCCCTCGGGGGAAGGGGCGGCTTCGGAGGCGTCGCGGGCTCTGGAGGGGCGGGCGCTTCTCACCCACCCCGGCCCCACGGGAGCTCTCGGCTCAGGAGGAAAGAGCGGCCGCGCGGCCTCCCTTCCCGCCCCTCTGCTCCCGGCTCTGCGCTGCGGGTGCGGCCGTTTCAGGGTTTCGGAATCAGACCACGGGCCATTTACCTAGAAAATTAGTTAAAACTGAGAATCTGGCTGTGTCACAGGCAGCAGTTGCTGATTTGCCAGTAAAGCCGCCTTGGCAGATGTTCTCTTCGGGGACATCGCCACAGCTTGTTGTTGTTTGTCGTGGACTTGTCACTTCTGGCTAATAGAAGTTCAAAGAGGGACCCTTGGTGAGGGGGCGGGACACGCTCGGCTTTCTGTTTTGAGGGACTAGATGGAAACCCAGTGGTGACAGGGACCTCCACCAGCCTTGGCAAAATTTCACGAGAAATTGTCATCTTCACTCCCCTGTCCACAGTGTTTTCACAAAATGCTAAGCAACCTTCCTAAACTGCCTTAACTGCTGGACTCATTTCGTGTATTTAGTTAGTTACCTTTTAATAAAAACTAAGTAGATCTTTTAAAGTGAAAGAATCCAGTGGCCCTGGGAAACCTGTGTCCTGGCTGCCGAACAGATGATGCTGGTCTGAAGCACCTGCTGCGAGGTGCCCGTCGGTGAAGGGGTGACACCACACTGCTTTGTAGCTGCTGGAGAAGCAGCTTGGGGCCGTGGGGCTTGTCTGGGACGAGAGGGGCTGCAAGTCCAATCTCCCTATTCGCACACCTCACCAAGGAGTGTTGGATCTGCCTAAAACCCTTAGTATCTGCTTCAGTAGAGTGTAATCTGAAAGATGATCTTGCCACTTAAGTGTTTTGGCTGAAGCTATGTGAAAAGCCCAGTCTTATAATAATATTTTTCTCTTCTTTTGCATTAGGATCTATGGGTTTGATGTGGAACTTACTGTTTTAGTTTCCTAAGAAATGAACATTTCTGTTTTAGCAAGTTAGAGAGCCGGGTTGGCTCATTTCTTAAACATAAATAAACAAGTAAGTGTTCTTTACTGCTGTCCAGAAACTGCACCCTCTAAAGCTTGTATAAATAAAACACTATTTCACGGGTCACATATAAAGACCTTCCTTGCTTACCAAGAAAATAATACATGTTCTGGTGGAAGTTTAAAATCCTAGAATCTTAACATTATTCTGAGAGGTCTGGCTAATGTTATATCTTGGGAAAAGAAACACAGCTTTATGAGATTATCCATTAATTAGTGTCATTGGAGCCCAGCGGTAATTAGAAGAATTACAGGAGCACACAGTTTTCTTCCCAAGTGGTGATGTGAGCTAGATCTCCATGGTGATGAAGATTTTGCCACCCAGAAAAGCAAGGTGGCATTTCTTGTTTTTCATCAATCAGAAAAGAAGGGCATTTCCAGAGGACCCAGAGTTAGTCTATGATGACTTCATTGTAAGCTCCTGTTTTTATGAGTCCACCTTTACTCAGGAGGGCTGGCTGACACTGTCCTCTGTGAACTCATCTGTCATCTGTCCTGGGAAACACGCACCTTCCCTGGCATGCTGGGGGCGGTTGGGGGTTTTCTTGCAAGGCTGCTATGTTTATTGAAATATGTGACTCTGTATAAATGCAAGTATAACTGTTTGGAACCGGCCAGGGCGTCACAGGAAATGCAGTCGATGTGACTACTGCAGATTACTGTGCTGTTTTACGTCTGGAGGCGGTTCTAATCCTGGAGTCCAGATCATCGGAAGGATTCTTTTTGCTAATCGACCTGGTGTGTTTGTTTATTACCCTCTCTATTCTGTTTAGGTGCAGGGAGGAGTTTCTGGGTTTTGTCTTCCTTCCGTAGGTCTATGCCAGTCGGTGTGCGTAGTGTCAGTCCCAGGCCAGGGCTGTTGAGAGATGTTTATGCCCTCATTGGAAGTGGTGGTAGCAACACGTCAAGGAAATGTAGGTGGAATCCTTACTTAAGGCAAATAGCTAGTTCGGAAAGTCTGTTCCTCCTGATTTTTTTCTCCCGGAATGAAGCAGATTCACAGCTTCTACTCAGAAGTGCTGTCTGGCAGAGGGTGCGATGTGGGCGCTCCATGTGGTGTGAATTCCAGCGAAGATGCTGAGCTGCCGACCGTGCAGCCCCGCGGGTTTGCCCACCAGCATCCCACTCCTTCGGGCACAGAGCCCGTCTTTCCCGAGGTCCACCTGGCACGGAGGGCCCCCCACCCAGAGGGCCCCGGCCCCAGCCCGCCCCCCAGGCTCATCTCAGGGAGGAGCACGGGACCCAGGCTGAGCAATCCGTCTCCTCCTGGAGCCTTCTGACTCTCTCCTCTCGGCTGGATGTGAGTGCCGGGTGCCAGATGCCATCCCAGGAACCTCGGGGGACTGGGAGTAGGGCACCTGTCCAAGCTGACAGAGGCAGGCAAGACCTCTCCTCATTGAGCCTGACTGAGCCTAGATTGAGCCCCGAGAGGTGAACTTTTCAATCTTGTAACCCCATTACATCTGAGCCAGCCGTGTCCCTTGCAGAACAGTGCCTGATATGTGGCAGAGTCTCACGGGGCTCTGAGAAGGGCACACGCCTGAGGGCTGTGGGATCCCTGCCCAAGAGCCTCTTGCTCTGCTGGGGACTCTGGGAAGACCCGAGGAGGAGACGCTGCAGCCTTAGGAGGGGTGAAGGGGAGATGGGGCGGCTGCTCTGGCCTTAGCACCTACCCTGGCCCTGTGCCCGCCCACCCCTGGCTCTTCACTTTCTTCCTGGCAGATGGAGAAAAACATGATGCTGATGGGGCTCTGTCCTGTCCCCAGGCCCAGCCACCAGCCCTCCACACACACACACACACACACAGACACACACACACACACACACCACACACGGAGCCCCTACAGGGATGTCCTTGGCACCAGCCCTCCCTGCTCCAGGATGGATGACCTTGGGTCTGGGTAACATTTCTAGAGAACGCGTTTGTTCTTAGCGAGGAGGGTTATGTCAACACAGCGGCAAGAGGAGGCTCCCAACCTAAACAAGAACTTATTCTTTGTAACATAACGACGGTATTGTTGTCGGTGGAGAAAGAAGTTTTTTCCCTAAGATTGTTTTATTTTAGTGTTTTCTAAGACATCACTTCAGTCATCATTCAAAACACAGACGCTAAGCAGCTTCATTCAAGCAGGATCCACTGCCAAGTCCCGGCAGGAGAGCAGGGGACCCCGTGGGCCCGAGCGGCACATCACAGCCAAGCCATTCTTATTTATTCCTCATTAGGCCTCACAGTGTCTCCTTTATTTCCCTCCACGATTGCGCCCTCCCTCCCGGGTGCAGTTCCCACGGTCGATTCTGTGGGACCAGAGACCTGGCCCGCATCCCTCTGCCCTCCACGGCCCAGCCGGGCAGTGCCCACCCTGCTCCCTGGGGCTCTGCACCCAGACACCCGACAGGCTCACCAGGAAGGGTTCTCCTGAGCCAGACCTCACCTGGGAGGCCCAAAGGCAGCAGTTTACCCAGCAAATGACTGAATGATTAATGCCTGCCTTACTGTCACAGACTCAGGCCAGTTGTCGGCTGGCATGAAAGCAGTTCATGTATCACATAGCAAACCCGTGTTACGAGGGAAGAGGCCTGAAAGGCGTAGTCGCGTAACAGAAACTTGGTGACACTGACACCCTAGGTTGGTGCTCTCTGCATGTTCCTGTATTGCCTCCAGAAGATTCCAGGGTCCATTTGCGAGAGGAAGGATGGCTGCGGGCTGGGTGGAGGGACAGATAAGGGAGCATCGGGGAAGCACTAATTTCTCCTGGTAAATTCTACCTGGTACAGAACACAAGTGGGCCCCAGGGTGTCAGGCCTGGAAGGGGCTTCTAGTAGGTAGAAGCCAGGGGTGCCGCTACACAGCCTACTGCTGGGGGCTGCCCGCTGCAGCCCCACACGAAGAAGGGTCCAGCACAAAACGCCCATGGTGCCAAGGCTGAGAAGCCGTGCTCCCGTTGAGCCACGTATGCGAAGGGTGCCATCTATGCAGAAAGAAGTAAGCCTCGGGCGGCGGGGCCCCAGATCGCAAGCCCCAGGGAGTCGGGGAGAGCGCTCCAGAGCACAAGAACAGTTATGCAAAGGCCTTGGAACTTTGCAGAAGCCTTTGTGATGGAAGCACGAGGGGAAGAGGGCTTTGAGCCAAGCTACAGGAGGACCCGATCCTCTGGGCCAAGGGGAGCAGTTCAGACTTCATTGCGAGGGCAACGGGCAGACCTGGAGGATATTAAACGTGGTGACGAGATGGAACAAATGGTTTAAAGAGCCCTGGGCTGCTGTGCCGGAGCCCAGCAGGGGCTGGGCGGGGGCTGGAGGTGGGAGACAGGGCGAGAGAAGGTGGGGCTGAGCTGGAAGGAGGGGAGAGGCTCCAGAGGGCTCCACAGGTGGACAGAGGGCTCGGCCGGCCGTGGGAAGGGAAGAAGCAGTGAGGAATGCAGAACAGCTATAGGCACCTAGCAGGCAGGGGCCAGAGAGCTGTCGCACCACAGCTGGGGCTTCCAGGAAATCACAGGGCCCCCGCTCAAATTCAGTGTCAGTGAAGCGACAGATTGTTTTAGTATAAGAGTGTCTCAAGCAATACTTGGGACGTACTTATACTAAAAAGAACTCGTTTACCTGCCATTCAAGTTTAACTGGGCGACCTGTAGTTTTATTTGCTAAAGCTGGCGGCCTTATCCATAGCAGCCACGTTGGGTGACACGTCCCCTTGGACACTCGGGGATGGTGGCAGGTAGGCAGGTGTCTGCAGGGCACAGAAGTGTGGCTGGGAGAGACGTCTGGGGCGGCATCCGTGTCAAGATGGTGTGAGAGCCTTGGATAGAAGGGATGGCCCCGGGACTGTGGAGGCAGGGGGGGGCGCAGGCTCCCGATGGAGGC